GCACGTGATGGAGCAATAAACGCATGCACGTGATGGGGCAATAAATGCAGGTGATGAGGCAATAAATCCACGTAATATGAGAATTACAAGAAACATAAGGGTTTTCCATGCAATTATTCTTTAATTAGCTGCTCTTAGACACACTTAACATTTTATGAGGAGAGTTCAGTCGTTTGGGTTTCCTGTGTTGGGGAAAGACATGATTTGATAACTGGGGATATCCTTGTGTCATGAATTAATTAACGAACTTCGTTATTTGGGTTTCTTGTCTATAACRTAATAGATTTCAATCTGTGTTCGGGATGGTTTACGACGGGTAAAAATCTCTACTTTGGGTAGCCTGTGTGTCCAAGTTAAAAAYACAACTAATAATCTTTAATGATAATTACTGAACAAAGACATATCCGATAGCCTTGAGATGTCTGGTTCCTCTGTCGCCGTTGAAAATGCACTCATTCCCGCAGGAATTGGAGTTCATTTGAGCAGAGGCTGGGTAYGACGTTCCRAACCCAATGAACGAATCACAGGAGCGGCAAACTGGCYTATCAGCATCGTTGGCGATCAACCCAATCCTRGCTTTAGCGGCAGGCGGRTTCTCAGCCTGAGCGTTGAATCCTTCTCTGTTGCAGTAAGGTTGGAGGGATGAGTTGGGGATGAGCGATCGCCAGACGTTACGACCAACCCTGGTTGCTCTGTAGCGGCCGTCAGCGATGAGMGAGTGTAAGGAACTTGCTGGGTAGTGGAGCTTGATCCATCGGGTTCCACCACCACTCTTTGCAGGTWAAATAAAGAAATTCAAAATTTCAAAACATTCTATTCTATACATCAACCCTCATTTTTCAAATGACTTTACGCTTTGCTGTTTTAAATATTGCTCTAAATATCGGCAAATTCAATAGACCATTTCACAGATCCCGCGGCCAGCGTGTAATATATTCTTTAGAAATTGCCTACAACCTGTGAAATTTTTAAGTGTTTCAATTGTTCGTTGATGTGTAAATTCCTTTCATTACTGCGGATTGTAGTCCAATTCTAAAGAATAATTACATGCTGACCAGGCTGAGGTTGAGTAACGGGATCCATGAAATGGCCTATTTGGTATTCGATGTGCTCTATATTGGATAACGTAAAGTTATATTTAAGAAGACACCCTAACAGCTGTGCTTTCTATTARCTTATAATATTTGCTTCCCCGCATCCCATAATTTATTACTTAAAACAATAGCATTACAATAGTAAAACGGTATTATRATGGTATGCCGAATCGTAAACGTCGCACTTTTTAACTAACAAAAGTCATTTGTTCATAAAGTCGTCACGTAACGTGGGGAGAGAAAGGTTGCGTGACGACCCTAACAGAGTCTGCGTAGAAAACTAAAGTAATGAATGAATATAGCGTGACTGACCTTCATTCCCAAACAAATGCTAGTAAAAGGTGTTCCCCAGTACGTTGGTAGCTTTGTCTCTACATTATTCAGTCCAGATGCTCCTCCTCCAATGTTATATGCTGCCTTGTTTCGCCAGTACGCTGAATTCCAGTGGAAAGTATTCTGGAATAAAGCGTACCTATTTATTCACCTGGGTGAGA